ATATAAGATAATTTGATACTACAAATACTTGTGGTTGTTAAAATTCAGGTACTAAGCAAACAGCTCAGTAGGATACTACAACAAACATGTAACTAATTCTCCTGTCTCTAGTTTCTCCTTCAATATCTGTTTTATATCTGTTTAAAACACAGTCCAGTAACGCAACAACTCTACATAAAACTAAAGATACCTACTCCTGACAGAATTAGAATTTCTGGAAATTGTAAGACAGAACTTGCCCCTGATTTTTCCAGTTTATACAAGCTATCCACAATACTTTGCTCATGGCCTCTTCCCTGTCTTTTCAATTTTCCAGGCTCATCTCTTACCATTTGTTGTCAACCACTTGGTCTGGCCATACAATGTTACTAGACACATCCAATGTGAAGTACTCTTGAAAGACGCTGTAGATTCCTCATGCTAGATTTGGCTTTCCTTACCCTGGGGGTTCTCTGAAGCAGAAAGAATTTTATTTATCCCTACATTCAAGAGTCCAGCAGAGTGCCCAACACAAAGCAGGTGTTTCACAAATACTTGCTAAGTTAAAGGAATACACAGGCAGGCATGGTGGCTCACACTTGTAATCCCAGCACTTTGGGAGGCAGAGGTGGGAGGATCACTTGAGGCCAAGAGTTAGAAACTAGCCTGGGCAAAATAGCACAACCCCATCTCTACAAAAGCAAAATTTTAAAAATTAGCCAGTCCTGGTGGTATGTGCCTATGCTCGCAGCTACTCAGGAGGCTGGGGCAGAAGAACAGCTTGAGGCCAGGAGTTCAAGACAGCAGTGAGCTATGATCAGACCACTGTACTCTAGCCTGGGCAACAGAGGAAGATCCTGTCTCCACTCCCCTCCCCACTCCAAAAAAAAGGAATGTGCCTATAATTGGAAGACAGTGATGAAGTTAAAGGAATAACGTAGACCAAGGTGACAGGTTTGGAAAACGTTAAATCATCTTGTTTGGCAGGAAAATTGTCTATACAGGGGGATGTTGACAGAAGGCTGGAAACCTGAGTGGGACAGCAAGAGTAAAGGCCAAGTGAGGAATTTGTAGAGTAATAGTTTTTTAGGGTAACTTGATGGATTTTTAGACACAGATTATACCACTTCTCTTTTCCCTCAATAATAGATTCGTGACTTTGGCTAAATTATGTGACTCAGAAAAGACTCAAGTACTTCATACACAAAATTAGACTACCCTCTTTAGTATGATAGGCTCAGCTGGTAGGCCTATCACCCTAGACACAGAAGAAAAAAAACTCATGTTATAATAAGGAAACTTGACAGTCATTTACAAGAGTTTACCAACTTTTGAGCAGTGAAATCTACTTTCCAAATAAACTCATACATGGAACCCTAGTACAGAATCCTTTTTTAAACCCACAATAATTGAAAGCGGCATGAAAAAAATTGGAGGCCCCACACACCCACCTTCCTTCCTCTCACAAACATTAGTTCATATAATCAAGTGAACTTCAAATCAAATATGGGGAACCCTAAAGCACTATTTAGAACACGATCAAAAGTTTACTAATCTAGAAGGATCCAGGTAAAGTCATACAATCAAGACTCCCCTTTGTGGCTATTGATAACGAAAATAAATGCTAGGGAGGAAACAAAGAAAAAAACTAAAGATGGAGAGGAAGTCCTACTGTAATTTTCCTGACCAGACCAATGCAGGGCATAAACTAGGATGGTAGTATTAAAAACACAGAAGCCAAGCAAATATAACATACAGAAACAATTTTTACTTTGTTTTCCATATTCTTGATGGGAACCCTGCTGATTCAGGAGAGACTGCTCCTCCCAAGGCTAGCTACTTCTTAGACAGCAAACTACCCCTCCTTGAGTGCTTTTCACATGCAAACCACTCAATCTAAACCTACCTCCCATCCATCCCCAATATTCAGCTCTCAAAGAACTCTTATATTTTGGGACTATTAGAATAGTCCCCTGTTCTAACAATCACGCCAGGGCCAGGTATCAAACAACTTGGGGGCTGCTCTTATATGTGAATATGTTGAGATTATTAAAATCAGTCAATTCTCCTTACCCTGCCTCGCCTGTTCCTTCTCACTAAAATCATGATAAAGGCTCTCCCCGATGATTTCCCTAGATATTTCTGCCTCCTAACCAACCCTGGTGCTTCCCTATGAGCACTATGTGGCGTGGCATATATGCCACCCTATCTGATGTGCCATGCCCTCTCTGCTTAGAAACTGTATCAATCTTTTCAATGGCAGTTGTCTCCTGACCTATTAGTTTCACCATGTTTGAATAATAATAATATAAACTACATTTTAAAAAGAGTTCAGAACCAAGCACCAAACAAACAGCATGTATTGAGAGAATAAAACATGAAGTATTAAGAAACAGGATAGCCGGGCATGGTGGCTCATGCCTGTAATCCCAGCACTTTGGGAGGCTAAGGCGAGAGGACTGCTTGAACCCACGTGTTTGAGACCAGCCTGGGCAACACAACAAGACCCAATCTCCACAAAAAATTTAAAAAATTAGCAGGGGTGGTGGCACATGCCTGTAGTTGCAGCTACTTGGGAGGCCAAGGTGGGAGAATCACTTGAGCCTGGGAGGTCAGGGCTACAGTGAACCCTCATGGCACCACTGTACTCCAGCCTGGGTGACAGAGAGGGATTGTCTCAAAAAAAATAAAAAATAAAATAAAAATAATAATAATAATAAACAGTATGAAGATGAGATTTTCTAGTTATGAGAAATGCCAAAGCAGAATATGTTTTAAGAGATAAACCTGACATAAAGTAAATATGTCTTTTTTTAATTAAAACACATTAACTATGAATATGTTTAACATCATTTATCTTCATCATTCAAGATATCTGAGCCAAAACCCTAGGCCAATAATCCTTGACTCTCATTTACATTCCACATTTAGATCATCAGAATATATAAATATCCAGAATCTGGCCACATCTCAACAACTTTACCTTTACTACCCTGGTTCAAGCCACCATCATCTCTTACCTGGACTACTGAAGAAGTAACCTCCTCACTATTCACCTGGCTTCCATTCTTGTCCTGCTACAATCCCTTCTCAATGAAGAATGAGCCCTTTAAATCACAGTCAGACCATACCATTCCTCTGCTCGAAACCCTGCAATGGTTTCCTGTTTCACTCAGGGTAAAAGTTAAAGGTCCTGCTGTGGTTTAAGAAGGCTCTAAGTGATCTGTTCCCCTGCCATTCCTCTGATCTCATCTCCTACTTCTTTCACCATCATATCCAGCTCCAGCCACTTAAACCTCCTTACTGTTTCTAAAACATCAAACACAGTCACACATCAGTTTCCTCTGACTAGAACATTCTTTCCCCAGAAATCTGCATTGCTCATTTACTTACCTCCTTTACATCTCTACTATAAGTCACCTTATTAGACAGGCCTTTCTTGACCATCCTACATATAATATCACAAACATATCTGTCATTCTGTATCCCTCTTATCCTGCTTTTTCTTCATAGCAGTTAACAGTATCTGGTATGTTATGGTTTTCGTTTTTTTGTGTTTTTTTTTTCCCGAGACAGAATCTTACTCTGTCTCCCAGGCTAGAGGGCAGTGGCACGACCTCAGCTCACTGCAATCTCCGCCTCCTGGGTTCAAGCAATTCTCCTGCCTCAGCCTCCAAAGTATGGGACTACAGGCGTGCACCACTATACCCGCCTAATTTTTGTATTTTTAATAGAGAACAGGTTTCACTGTGTTGGTCAGGCTGGTCTCGAACTCCTGACTTTGGGTGATCCATCCGCCTCAGCCTCCCAAAGTGCTGGGATTACAGGCGTGAGCCACCACGCCCAGTTTTTTGTGTGTAATTTACTGTCTCTCCCCATTACAAATAGGCACCTAAGAGGCTGGAACTTTGTTTCATTCACTGCTGTGTATGAGTGCCTAAAACAGTGTCTGAGCAGGCACTCAGTAAATATGAAATAAATAAATATACCAAGAATTTGGCCTTTCTGAGGGATTTACACTTGCACTGCTCAAAAATCCATAAACCTAGCAAAGAGACAAAACTGGTTCACTAGTGTTAATATATAAAAATGTAAAAATAAAAATATAGTCTTCTAAGAAAGATGGAAGGCTTGACAGTAAATGATTAACTACCAAAAGAATAAAGTATAAATGAGAGATTGGCAACCATATGAACTCACCTCAAGAGAATAACAGATACCTACAAATGAACATGTGAAAAACTTTATAATAAAACTATATAATTAAGCACAGAGAATAAGACTATCTTGCCAAGATTTGCTAACTTGGCAAACATCCATATTAAACTCAGCTTCCCCAATTCCAGATACAAATGGAATTGTGAATTTGGCAATTCACTGGAGAGAAAGACTGCATTACAATCTAGGTTCACATTAAAGTTACCTCATTCTTCTCAACTTAGATCTGACCCAGAGGAAAATTTTTAACAGATTCTATTGGACATGTGCCATACTATAGTCAGTGAAGTTCAAAATTAACATTTTAGATGTTAACCTAAATGATTTGTTTTGTTTTCCTAAAACTAAACTGCACTAAAAAAATGCATTATGAGTATAAAATGAATTATTTTAAATAATATTTTGTCAAAGAAAAAGCAATTTATAACACCAGTCCTTCCCTCGTATTTTGATTTCATTCATGTAATGCCTCACCCATGGCTGAACACATGGTAGCACTCAAGCTGTTCACTGATAAGAGAGAGATAATATTCTTTCCTTCAAGGTTTATTCAATATAGATATGTCCACCTCAACCTTCCCAGTTATTAAAAAAAAAGCAAACGAAAATTATGTACCCTAAATTTGTATATAAATGTATTAATCATTTATTTAACAATTAGTATGTCATAAAGCATAGTATTAGATATCGAAGACACAAAATAAAAATTGCACATGCTGCTATCAATAAATTCATAACGTGGTAGGGAAGTCATATAAACTATAATAGAAAATGATAACTTCTATGATCTTGGGGTACACAGGATGCAAAGGAAGCCCAGAGGAAAAGTTCCCAAGACAGAATGCGTAGAAAAAAGATGGGAGAAAATGCAGGCACAAAGTAACACTGAGAAGAGGGCAGAGGTAAACCTAACGCTACCTACAAATGTAGTATGGCTAAAGGAAAGGAAATGTCACATGAATAAAGACGTATGCAGAGCCCAGGGCCTTACATAACACCCTTAAAAATTTGGCTGTTAAACGGGAGGATCTTAAGTAAGACAGTAATATGAGCTGTGTTTCATTTAAGATGGTCAATCTAACAGTATCATGAAGTTTACTTTAGAAAGGAGATTGAGACTGCAGATTATTAAATCAGTTGGTACTGATCCAGAAGAAGGTAGAACGGTGGCAGCGGTGGTGGCTTTGGCAGCTCAGGACTGAGTGCAAGTAACAGAATCGGCACGATTCTCCAGAGGCTCTTCAGGTTCTCCTCTGTCTTTCGGTCAGCAGTCTCAGTCCGTTTGCAGAGGAACATTGGTGTTACAGCAGTGGCGTTTAATAAGGAACTTGATCCTGTACAGAAACTCTCCATGTATAAGGTTAGAGAATACAAATCTAAGTGACAGACAACAGGAGGATCTGTTGATACTGATCCAGAGTACCAGCAAGAGCCGGAGAGGAAGCTTTTTAAGCTCAAGCAAATGTATGGTAAAGCAGACACGAATACATTCCCTAACTTCAAATTTGAAGATCCCAAATTTGAAGTCATCAAAAAACCCCAGGCCTGAAGAAATAAAGTAAAATTAATCTGGTAAGTTGTCAAGGGTTAGCAGTACAACTAGCTAGAAGTTTCAGAATAAACATACATTCACAACTGTCAAGTGTTCTTTTAGTCTCGATTCCAAATAAATTATTTGGTGATGTGGAGTATTAAAAAATCTGGAAGGAAAAATAAAGATGTGGATGAAAAGAAGGGGATATTACTTGAGAGATATTGAGAAAGTTATAGATATCGGAACTGGTGAATAATGAAAACGTGAATCAACTCAGTGGCAGTGGAGCTGGACAGGAAGGAGGGAAGGAAACATCAACAGGACCTGGTGACTGATTAAGGGCAGAAGATTGGGCCAGACACAGTGGCCTGCAATGCCAGCACTTTGGGAGGCCAAGGCAGGCAGATTACTTGAGTCCAGGAGTTTAAGACCAGCCTGGGCAACATGGTGAAACCCTGTCTCTAAAAGAAAAAATATATATACATACAAAAATTAACCAGGGGTGGTGGTGCATGCCTGTAGACCCAACTACCTGGGCGACTGAGGTGGGAGGATCACTTGAACCCAGGAAGCGAAGGTTCCAGTGAGTGGAGATCACGCCACTGCACTCCAGTCTGGGTGACAGAGTGAGACCCTTTCTCAAAATAAAATAAAAAATAAAGGCGGAAGATTGGACAGAAGGGGGATACTCTTGGTTAATGGCATCACCACCCAACCAGTTGCCTCAAATATACAGTTGGTTCAGATATAAAGGGAGAAACAAGTCTGAAGAAAAAATAGTGAAAACAACTTGGAGATACTGGATTTGAATTATTTCAAAATAGTAAAGAAAAGAAAATGATATAAGCAGATTATTAGAAATAAGTCTAGAATTCAAGACAGAGATAAAAGCTGGAGGAAAGCCAGGGAATGGTGATCTCCTAGAAATCAAAAAAGGTAAGAGATTTAACAAACAGAGAATGGTTACCAATGCCAAATAGGAGTAAAGGTGTTAATAATGTCAGTAGGGTGGTAGGGAAGACACAGTCAAAGTCTGTTCAGGGGTAAATGAAAGGCAAGTGGGCAAATGGAAGCAGTAAGTATCCATTAGTCTTTTTATATGTGGCTCTGAAAGAAAGGGGTAAGACAGCAGTAAAGAACTGTTCTCTACTGCTGTCTTTCAGAGCCTTTCTTTCAGAGTCACATATAAAGCAATTCACTAGAACCTCCACTTCCTGGGTTCAAGTGATCCTCTCACCTCAGCCTCCCAAGTAGCTGGGACTACAGGCATGCGTTTTCTATAGTATTTTGAGATAATTCAAATCCAGTATCTCCAAGTTGTTTTCACTGTTTTTTCATTCTCCCAAAGGAGAATTGTTTGTCTCCTAAATCAAGGAGCATGTGAGCCTGTGAAGTTCCATAGCAGAGAGGAAATAAGTGATGGGTAGGAGAAAAAAAAAAACAAGAAGGAAGAGGCATACCCTTCTATAATACTACAGCCAGAAAAAGGTAAAATGAGGCCCCAAAGTTCAGGCATATGTATATGGCCATTTAACTAGGACTTTTTAAGCAATAAGCATGCTGTGCTTAGGCTATCTCAGCACTATTGTTAAATGTTTTAATTATGTAATTTTTGATACTTTTGATACTTTTAATTTGTAACTTTTGATAACTTTGATACATTCATGTTATCATATGTTGTAATTATTGTTACTATTACATTTTCTCTATATAGCACTATGTATGGGGCAACATACTAAGTAGCTTTACAAAAATTATTTCTTTTAATCCTTACCAAAATTCTATGAGGAAGTATTTCTCCATTTTATGTATGAGAAAACTGAGGGATAGAAAGGTTAAATAACTTGCCCTCAAATACTCAGCAAATAAAGGACAGAGTTGAAAATGGAACCCGGGCAGTCTAGCTCCAAAGCCTATGATCTTAACCATCAAGTTATGCTACCTCTTTTCAGGTGGATAAAGAATACTTTTGGTTACTAACTTAATCTGAAGACAACTATTCTCTAGCAGGAAATATTTCTAATTTTACAATCCATGTAGGAGAAAATTGAGTTTACTGATCAGAAACTTGCTAGACTACATTATTAAGTAAAAAAACACACAGAATTAAAAGTAATATTATTTAAAACATCCGTACATTTTTAATCTATATAAACATGTACACATAATAATAGTTCTCATCTATATAAATATGTACATATAACAATTGTTCTTAAATTTTACCATGCATCAGAATTTCTTGGCGGGCTTGTTCAAATGCAGACTGCTGAACCCCTACTTCAAACTCCAATCTTTCCCTATTATTTACAAAATAAAGTACAACTTCTTCTCAGCATGGCTTACCTCTGGCCATGAGGCATTGTCTAATTATTCATCTTTCAATATGTTTTTAGTACATTACCTATTTTTTTATGCTTTCCCTAATACAACCCTTCCTAATAAAGCCATACATTCCTTCTACGATTCCAAAGCACCTCTAAAATAGTAAAAAACAGAACAACAATGATAATAATATCAATTAACTCTGTGGGGCATTCCCCAAGGAAACATGAATTACCTCATTCAATCCTCATAACAACTTCTCAGGATAAAGATTATAATTATTCTCACTGTACATATGGGAAAAATATGTGTTAAAGACAAAAAGTACAAGGCACTCCAAGATTATAATACGAAGATCTAACCTGTTTATGGTTATTGTACTGGCAGTGTCCTATTACAAGAGTATAAGTTACACAGACTATGAATTTCAGGATGTCAAATAATTCCATTTCAAAATGACACTTTCAAAATCAAATTAATTAATTATAAGACCAAAGTCATATAGTTAAAATTTAAAACACATTATTTAAAATGAAATTTAAATTTGTCAGCTTTTTTTTTCCCTTAGCAAATGGAGCTATTACCCATCTGACACAGAATGTAATAAATATAAACTATCCAAAACTAATAAAATAGCATTTGAAAATGTCCTTGCAATATTGGTCATGATAAAGGTAAAATAATATGCCAAGTTCCTGACAATCCTAGTAGTGCATAAAGTACTTCCCTTTTGGACAAAGCTAACTTTCTTATGATTGAATTAGATCCATGACTTAATATACATCATTTGTAAGATTTTTTTTTTTTTTTTTTTACAAAAAGCAGATTTCTTTCATCGTAAATTTCAAAACGAAAACCAATATTTTTTTTACAGAGGAAAAATGCCTAAAAGTCCAAATACTGATCTTACAAAGAGACATGAAAGGTAAAATCAAGTATGAACCAGGCCTGGATCCCCATATCTTCAGTTTCTATTTATCAAACAGAAAAATCTTTCCAACTTTCTCCTTTCCTGTATAAGACCAAAACTATGCAATATTCTGTTTGTATTACAATTACACTAATTCAATGCAGGTCACTTGCTTTTTACTGAGTCCAGATGACATTCAGTAAACTAAACATGGGCCAATTAGTTTAAAAAAAAAAAGGAGGAAAAGAAAAAAGGAAGAAAGGAGTGTGTTCTGATTGCCTTTGGGTAGGTCATACAGTGGCTACAGAGCATCACAGCCTGAACCTCATTTTGGCTAACACCAACCATACGGCTAACATTAAGGACCAGCATTTTTTATTCCTTTCAGATTTCTCACATTTGGAAATTCCAATTTAAATACATTTTCTGGTGAAAGTGAGGACAGCACTCCTGCATAATATCAGTTTTCCCCTAATTCAACTCCAGTGTCTTATTTTGGAGCTACTAAAATGGAGTCTGCACAATGTCTAAAAAAGTATAATAATCCTTTTGAACCAGTTTATGTATTACAGTTATAAATGAGCAAATGAAACTGATGATTTAGCTGACACAAACCCACACAAAAAAAGATGGTCTAAAGCTATGAAGTTTCAACATCAATGTTTGTAATCTCAAATCAACCTGAACCATCATACAATTAGATATATGATAAACTAAGTAACAGAAATATTCATAACTAAAAGCAGTATTATTTTTAAATATCTTATTAGGTGTTGGCACCCAACATTTTCTATAATCTATCATGTAAAGAAATCTGTTTTACTATTCCTTTTAAACTCTCTACTCATGCTACTTTAGTTGTATTTCTAGAAATAAATAATAAACTCTCTGTTCACCAATTTTTTTGGCTAAGAAACTTTTTAAAAGTTATAATGTAACTAAGTTAAAATGTACATATAATCATAATTTGATATCAGACTGCTTTCATACAAAAAACCTACATTAATTCCTCAAGTAAATTTATACTTTATCAATTGTTGGTATTTTAAATTAAAAAGTACTCAAAAGAAACTATTCATTCACCAATATTACAAAAATGGAAGTCTCCAAATACGTAAACTAGCTTGATTTTTAGATTTGTTAGTTATTTAGTCTAATTTTTTTAAACTTGCCTAAATTTAACTGAAGAATATTATGTTCCTGCAAGTGTTCACGAATACAAAGATACAGTAATGAAGATGGAAATTATTTACTCTAACAATTCTGACTGCATGACTGTTAAATCACTTACATACGGTCAAATGATCTACAAGGAAGCAGGGAGGTCCTGAAATTGTGTACTCATATCCATTTTCAACTACTGCACAGGTGACACAACCAATCAAGGCATTACTGAAACAGAATGGGAATAGAAAGCACTTAGTGAATAAAAGTGACTTCCTTAGACAAAAATGTAGAGGTTAGCTTGTGACCAAGGTGGAAGAAACAACAGCACCATTCCTCCCATTGTTTGTTCATATTAAGAGAAAAGTGAGACCAATAAGAGGCAAAGGACAGAGGACAGCAACACCAGCAAAGAGTCAGGCAGCAGTGGGGTCAGAGCACAAGAACAATATTAACAGTTAAACATGGAGCACAGAAGGGGTGGTTTAAATGTCAGTTTTACCCAACTATTTATAGGACAGTTCTTACATATCACTGAATCAATAAGCACTATTCCCAAAAGCTTGGAAATAAATGTTACAATGAAATGTTGGTTATGTAAAAATCTTATTTAATGCATTAATTACTATTTAGAAAAGAGCAAATATAGTAAATATTAAGTAAAAATTAATAATAATTAAAATAGGCTTATGGTCTGAAATATAATAGGACATATGATGGGAAAGGATTACTGTTCTAACAACTATGCATAAAGCTATGAAAAGCCAACAGTTATATTAATCTGTAGAAACAGTACTCTAAAAATTACAATAGGGAGATATACTTTTATTTTTTTTCTTTTTACCCAAGGTCTTATTCTGTCACCCACACTGGAGTGCAGTGGCATGATCATGGCTCACTGCAGTCTCAACCTCCTGGGCTCAACCGATCCTCTCAACTCAGGTTCCTGAGTAGCTGGGACTACAAGAGCACACCACCACACCCAGCTAATTGTTTTTGTATGTTTTGTAGAGACAGGGTTTTGCCATGTTGCCCAAGCTGGTCTGAAATTCCTGGGCTCAAGCGATCCA